ATTCCTGCTACACAGCTTTCCACATACGAATTCTTGGCGTTATTGCAGATATTAGGAATTGGATTCGCAATATCGAACAGCATGCTTCAGATAACGTCAACAAGATCTTGGTAGGGAACAAGGCTGACATGGACGAGAGCAAGAGGGTAAGAAAGATAGCCCACCCCCGAACTTTATCCCGCTTCTTGATTCACTTACTGATATAACTAACATCGTTTCTGGTCCTAACACACTTTCAGGCAGTGCCCACATCAAAGGGCCAGGCACTGGCTGATGAGTATGGAATCAAATTCTTCGAAACAGTAAGCCACCCGACCATTGTGCCTTTTGATCTAATGAAAACACCTAAAACCAGATATGGATTATGCATAGCAAGGTGTGTGTGTGTAAACATTATACAGAGTGCAAAGACAAACCTCAACGTCGAAGAAGTCTTCTTCTCCATAGCAAAGGACATTAAGCAAAGGCTTGCAGATACCGACTCCAGGGCCGAGGTTTTATAAACTCCCCCTTTCGCCATTTCTTTCGATGCAGCGGTCCAAATTATTTCGATTTTCCATTAAATTTTGCAGCCCGCAACGATCAAGATAAGCCAATCGGACCAGGCAGCCGGAGCTGGCCAAGCTGCGCAAAAGTCTGCATGCTGCGGAAGCTAAACAAAAACTCTCAAGTGAGAGGTTGGGCGTTAGCAAGAACTAAAGTTGTCGTCGTATGGGTGGTTTCTTTTTTTCATATTCTAATTTGTCATTTTCTAGCTTGTGCTAGTGCGAGTGTAGAAGAAGAGTCTTTGTATCTCTTTTGCTGGTCCGTTTATTACATCAACAGTTCTCCGTAAGATGTAATAACCCATTTTAAGCAGCTTCACTGAGGTATCAAACCTAATTGGATGATATCATTTCGTCAAAGTTACATTCGTTTTTTTTACATCACACATCCCACAGAGTTTACAATCTTACATTTCTTCTCCATTTTAGAACCTCTAATGCTTCCTAGCCATCTTCCTTACCATAGATTCTCTGAAGCTCCCTTGTTGCCGCTTGAAACGACTCTGTATAGAAACAAACATTGGTAATCAACACAAGGGCTTAAGAACAGCTATGGAATAATGGAAACTATATGTGAAGGTTTCATAGGTCAAATAAAACTCTTAAACTCAAGATTTGGATATTTCTATATAAACCCAAGAACCCTGATATATTTTCTACCTGAGAAGTCCAATTCCATATACCTTTCCAGCTCCGGAATGCTTTCTGGTTGATCGGAGACCCGAAGACGGTCTGGATCACATCAAACAACATGCTCTCAGGAGTGTTCCTCAGTTCCTGAACTATCTGATAGATTGTCTTTCCGTTCTCAAAGTAAATATGGTTGTTTGGATGCTTTGTTTTACATCCCGCATGCCGCTCGAAAGCGTAGGCATTGAGCACCTTGAACAATATATACAAATAAGCATTTTGATTTTTCCAAGGAAAGAAAGGAAAAAAAATTTCTTTCAGGCAGACATACCTTTGAGAAATTACAGTCCTCGCATCCACATAGATACCCAGAGCCTTGGATAATTCCTCGAAGCTCCTGATTAGATATGCTCATATCAAATTATAAGATCCACCATAGCAGGTAAAGAGGTTGATGCAAATATAAGCTTGAAACGGGCATTGGGGGTTTTACCTCACGTGAGAGAGACATGTATTTCACTGGAACACCATCAAGCATACCAGTTGATATTAAGCTCCTGACATTTGATGGGAAGCTCGTTGGAGCTTCTTTCCTTGGCATTTTGGCATCAGTTTTGTTCTTTTGAAGAGATTCAGACCTTGGTTTCGCCACCTGCCGTGCACTTACAACCACATTGGTATGAGACGCCTCGAGTTCTTGTCCAAATAGCATCTCTGATGTTTGGACTGGGGACTGATGGCCATAAGGATGGTAGCCACCACCGACGGCTTGGGAGCCAGGGCCAATATCATGTTCATCGTTGATCTCGTCAAAAGCCATAATACTTGAGTCCTCATTGCCATAGGGATGACCCCCTAGTGTTACATTTATACCCTCCTTATCAAATGCCTCTCCTATGGATGCAAAGCTACTCTCATTTTCCCGGCCAGACGCTTGCATGGAAGAGGACTCGACTTTCTTCTGACTGTGAAGACTTTGACCATCTGAATCACCATGCACGGTCATGGTATCCTTGACCCGACTGACTCGAAGTTTTCTTATTCCATCCCCAGTGAAACAGTTTCCTGTATCTTCCATGCCACTAGATATCGACAACTGAACAGGAGTGTTTTCCATATAGGCCTCTCCCATACCCTTTGGTTGGCTACCGATTTCTGCTCTTTCCCCTGTATCAAGAACTTTTTATGCTCTAGATGTTTTTGGGTGTCAATGATTGGATTCATGGATTTTCCCTTCTGGAATTGGAGTACATTGATTGATTTTGGATATCTGATTATTTTCTAGGCACTTGCTTCTTCAACACAGAGACGCAAATTGTTGCAGGATCTATTTGCTGACATAGCTCTAGAAGTCGATGAACGTGCCAAAGGTAAACTTTTGGTCTCATATTGATTTAAGTTTAACAGGAGCCTGATATTATTTAGTGTGTGTGTTCAGTTATTTAGCGTTTTAGTTACGATGTCGGTTAATGGTCAAGAAAATAATGTGAATTTAGTAGCGGCACTCAACATAAGGATAGTTCTAGTGGTTGATAAAGTTATGGGGACTGAGCTTTAAAATTTACTTCAACCAGAGCTTACCTGTAAGTTTCCAGTTGAATGACTATCATTATGATGAGTTTTTTTAACCAATGACACTAAGTTAGTGCTTGAACTGGAAGCAGATGCTATCCTTTGCACTGGTTCGAGTCCGAATGAAAAACAGAACTGCTCTCCCAAGAAGGAACGCCTACATTTGATCTTCCGATTGGATCTTGTATCACATGCTTTTTATTGGGGAACATTTCTGGATGAGCAGCATCCAAAAACCAAGAATGAGATCGCTTCACGTCTCCTCTCGTTGGATTGCTGTAAGTTTGATCATCCCCAGTTACATGTTCATTGTTCTTCATCATCCAGAATCCCTTGCTATCATACGACTGAAAAAGGTGTCAAATTTAAACCCTAGCCAGTCATAGACATCTATTCGCCACAACTACTGTAACATTATAATGCAAGCTGAACAAGATAATGAGTGGGCTAGACTTCAATTCAACCCTAAGAATGGATGCATATTTAGAACAACCACTACAGGAGTCGGTAGAGAAGCACGATAAACCCTAAATAAAGGTCTGAAGTTTTACCATTCTTGCGCTTTTCCTACTCAATTTCAACGCGGAGCGTGGCTAATTCCCGATCCAATTATATACTCCTCGATTGCGTCCTCTACATGCGACTGCGAATTTCCAATTTCACCATCCCCAGAAATTAAAAATTCCGCGAATCAACCATCTGAAATTATCACAAACCCAAATTCGTAGACGAAACAAACCCGAATTCGGGGGGGAAACGTGAACAACGAAGATAAACGTCCTGAGGGGCAACGAAGTACGTCTAAATGCGATGAAAATGACGATATCGGAGAGCTATACCTCCAACGTTCGCCGGAAAGTGGACGGAAGCAATTTCGCCGGCGAAGAAACAGCGAGGGAAAAAAAATCCCCGAGGGCAATGATACGGTGCGTGAGAAGTACTCGATTTTTTCACTTTTAGGTTGAAAGAAGAAAATAATAAAAATGAAAAATTGAAAAATAAAACATGAAGGGGGAAATTGCATGATCAGATGCTGCGGTTGCAGTTAGACTTATCTTACGCGTGTTGGGTGAGAGTCAATCGTGACCGTCGATCACGAATAGAGTCAATTCCCCTTAACCCAATCAGACGGAGACACGTGGACTCTCAAGAACTTTTCTCTCCATATAAATGTTTAGTATTTGTTTAGTATGATTTAAAATGAAATAATTCCCAATCAGTTGAGATTTGAGATTTTCCGACTGATATTTTTTATTATTAAAAACAAAAAATACCCGCTTGGCGTCATATAGATATATATATATATATAATTCTAATAATATTTTTAGAGAAAATCTCATGAAAGGAGAAAAAACGAAGGATATATATATATATATATATAAAATATTAAATAACCAAAATATATTCACAACGGAGAACTGCGAATGGAGAAAACCCTATGACTAAATAAACTAATAATTAAAAAAATAAAAAGAAAAAAAATCAATGAACTGTTCTTCCGAGCTCCAACTTGAGATTCAAGTTATCGGCCGCCGCCATCATCGCATCCAAACAAGACACCCTCTTCCCCTTACTGCTCGAAATACTCATCGCCGTCGTCTCCGGGAAGAAAGCGCGTGTGACAAACGCGCCGCCGCCGTTTTGACGGTGCCTCCTCATGTGTCCGCCGAGAGCCTGGCCCATGGGGAAGTCGACGCCGCAGATAGGGCAAGAGTGAGAGTGAGACGACGCCGTTTTGGGCCTAGTGGAAGAAGGTGACACGTGAAGGCTCGGCTTCTTCTTGTGGCTGGCACGGTGGCCGCCTAAGGCTTGGAACGTCGAGAACTCCTTCATGCACGTCTTGCATGTGAATACGCGTCTGTTTACGACGTCGTTTTGGCCAACTCTTGTCAATAACATCAAGCACTTCGCCTCCATTACAAACACAAAGTTAAATTGTTTTTGGGTAACCTAAGTATGTCTTTTTAGTGTTTGTGTGTGTGTGTGTGTGTCTGTCTCGGAGAGAATGTTGTATAAATAGAGAGTTAGGCCGGTGGGATGGAATGACGGATATGCCCCGGTGACTTGTTGGGTAAGGATAAGCGAAGGTGAGTGGTAATGTTGTAATTAAGTCATGGGGAGAGGGCCAAAGAACGGGAGGAGACCGGGTGTTGTCACCGCGTAACTTGAGGAGACCAAAGGATTCGTTTTTGCGTTTGGAATTTTCGTGGCGCTTTCCAAAAATCTTTTTCTTCTTATTAAACGTTTTTACAAAAAAAAAAAATCAAACACAAATTCAGTTCTTTTTTTTCATCGGGAAAATTCCTAAAAACCGGGGAATTATGGCATTATACTTACAATGTCATGGGATAATATTTACCGGGTCAAACTCTATATCGTCATTTCTTAAGAAACCCAAAATCACGGGGTAAATTGGTAAATACGGATATTTCACTGTATCGTATACGGAAACCAAAATCAGTGCCAAGTGTAAGGCTCGTGGCCTACTTTAGATGCGTTTATATGAGCCATCAACCAACCTCACTCGGGTTAACCCGGAACCCTCTCCGACCCGACCCATTGTCTGCTCGAGCGACGGCGAAGAACGATGAACACGAGATCCTCATCGTCATTGTCGCCGCCGCTGCTCCGGGAGGAAGGAGGAGAGCTGCAGACGGTGGACCACGCTTTGCTCCGCCGTCACATTCCGCCGGGATGGTCCGTCATCAAGAGGCGGCGGTCTTCGGCGGAGGCGGATGACGGATACGGTCGCGTCGATACGGTAACCAAGCCCAGATTCTTCTTCTCTTCTCATCTCTGTTGATTGCATGTTGTTTCCAAATTTCTGCAAATTTTGTGTTCATTGTGTGTTATCAATTTCTCTGAATGTCAATCACATTTTGGGGATAAAAATCTCTGATGCAGTCTGATTTCGATTTAGTTTATGGAATTCAACTTACTGCAATCTCACTAGACCACTGAAAGAGCGGATTCTGAATCGAAAAGATGAAAACTTGGGTTTGGTTATGTGCCGGGGAGACAACGATCAGTGATCATCAGTCTATTCCCTGATTGTGCGTGCATAACACGCGCCGTCGATGTCGCGTGGAAAATGTCGTCGGCCACTGTTATATGTACAAACAGTGCGTATAATCTTGCATCTTATAATCTAATTATATGGATTAGTATAGACTCGTTAATGGCGTCGAATGGATGAAATACTTAGTTCTTCAGAGGGATGTGATAGGGTTTAGTGGAAAGATCGAATCTTTCGTGGTGGGTATATCAATCTGTGCTTAAGAATCGAGTTTCTTGCTTTGCATTGTGTTTGTTCTTTGGTATTTTTCCGTGAACTCGAGGGAGAGAATAGATGGATTGGAGTCGAACTCTATACAAGTTACAGTTTTCCAATCAATACGAGGAATGATGCTGATGATGATTTCGTGAGTTTGTTGAGTGAGTCGGGCTTGTATCGATATCGAATTTGGACCCCGATTCTTCAAAAACCCAAGAAAGATTCGGTTATCAGATCGGTTTATTATACTGGAATCATGTAGCAGTAATAATATCTCACACCTTTGTATTCTTTTTTGGCGTAATGTGGCAGTACTACGTCGAACCAGAAACCGGCCGACACTTTCCGTCTCTAGCATCTGTTCACAGACACTTGAATGGAGAGCAGAGTCTATGTCTGGCACTCACCGCCCGCAAACACTCGGATGGACCACGCCTCTACGAGAAACTTACGTTCAAAGAATTGACCGTTTCCAAACAGGTCATGGGCTAGATTGTGTTTTACGTCGTTTCTTGTTTTTTTTTTTTTTGGAGGGCCAGGGGAGAGGACAAAGCACTAGGGTTGGCCCGGTGGGTGCGGGCGGGTACCCGAGATTTTTGGTTCACCCGGATTTCTCGGTCTGAGGTACTCGGTCCTAGCCTCACTAGGTTTGGTACCCGGATTGTGGGCACCGCGGGGTGTTCCGAGGGCTCAGGTACCCGGCCGGTGAGGGTAAGCGAGAGGGGACAAGGCTGAGACGGAAGATTCGAGCCGTCTCCTCGAATTTTCAAGAAAGAAATCCTAATATCTTCTAAAAAATATAACTCCGGATACAAAAATACCCTCTTCATCATCTGCTCGTCCCCTTCCCTTTCACTGCTCTTGCCGCCAGCTCACCCTCACTATCCCCGTATCCCTGTTATCCGCGAGTTCGAGTTTTTGTCAGATGGAATCTGTTCTCAAAGCTGCGACTCGGGTTCTCATCGGGGTCGGGTTCCCCAATTTTGGATAACTGTGGGTCTGTCGGGTTCAGGTGCTCAAGCCCAGTCCTACAAAACACTGTCTAACATTCACCGGATTATGCTTTTTCAGATGCACCGCACTGTTGAGTATGCCTCCCCGGATTTCAGTTTACCCGATGGATGGCTCATCAAAGCGATTCCGAGGAGAAACTCCACTATCGTTGACAAGGTGATTCTCTTGTACAGTTTTACCCTTCGTGATTCGGATTTCTTCGAATCACTAGTTCTGTGCTGCATACATGTTTCGGAATTCTAACCATCGGTTTTGTTGTTTGCAGTATTACATTGAACCGGAAACGGGTACCCGCTTTCGATCCCTTATTTCAGTTGAGAGATACTTGAAATCGATGGGAAATAGCTCGGATGAACCACAGGTCGAGCCGTTAACTGTAAATGTAACGTTACGGGAGTTATAACTGTGCAATTGAGAATCGGTTCTTAAGCCTCATATCATTTGTTTTACAGTTAACGACCGTTACTGACGCGGGAAACCAACTGCAGGTTGTCCCATTTGGAGATCATTCTCCGGTAAGTATCATCACTTAACCAGATTGAAATGGTTTAGGAAAACCGGTCCGATTTTATACAAAGTTATCGGTTTTGACTTTGATTGTTCCAGCTTGTGATGAACCGGAATGATACCGACCTGCGAGACAACGTTACCCATCAAAACCGGCCCGAGAAAGTGAAGTGGGTACTGACTGGTCCCGGTGGGAATATGTTTAGACCGTACATAAACGGTTCGGCGGTCTCCGGTTCAGTTAGGGATCAATGGTCCGAGGCGTTCGTCTCGCTCATTCAGGACCGGTCTTAACCACACCCAACCCAAGGTTCCTTTTGTTTGGGATTCGACCGTGTATCCGGTTTTGTGTCAACAAGTTTGGCCGGTTTTCAATCCGGTTATTGGATGCTTTATCAGTGTTCACTGTTCACACTAATAAGTGTAGAAACTGAACCGGATACCGGTTTTGTAAGGCTTTCGATGTACCGGTTCATATTCGGTAAGTTGCGAGTATAACTTGGTTAGGCATAAAATGTCCATATACTATGTTAAATCCATATATATAATTACACACAAAAAAAATTGGATTATTTATCACTTTGAAGCACATTACGTTAGATGTGTTATAAATTCAACTTACACGAGACATTTTATAAATTTGATATTTTCTAGTGCTATAGCATCAAAGTAGTAATTAAATAAATTTCACATTAACAAGATGTGAATAAACTTTTTGAATTAAATCCATTAAAATGAGGTTCAGGTTAATTAATTAAACTTATTTAATTAAATGGGATTAATAAATTAAACTCATTAAAATCATGGATTAAATTAGGTTAGACCCACTCATTTGGCATCTCTAGTTGAATCTAGTATCCAATTAACAACATTCTTATAATGTTTGAATTGTGTTTAATTTGGTAATTTTCTAAGAACAAAAGGTATTCAAAATTTGAATATCTAGCACTAGCAGTGACATGAAAGAGGAGTCTAAGTCTAGAAATTTTTCAAAGTGGGTATTTGTAAATTTCAAAGTCAAAGTAAAAAAGCAATGCCGTTTGTTGAAGAGTAAAATGAAATTATAATGCAAGTGGTGAAATTGAAGTTAAGGCCAAGAGGCAAAATATACCAAAAATTCAAGGGCATGGACTGTCGTTATACATTGACCCTATAACCCTATCTCTTTTTTTTTTTTTTAACTTATATTCAAATTCAATGGTTTAGCATTTCAAGAACTAAAGTCACTTTACCACATTCCAATAGAAGTATGTCTTTGAACAACGCAATCTAATGCAATGGTCAAACCTTATAGAGATTATAAAATCAATCCCCTTTTACTCATAATTCTTTAAGTCACCTACGCAATTCACAATGTCAATGCTACACCAAACTCGCTCCTATTTTTTTTCTCTCTCACTGTTCCCTTCGGCCCTTTGTGGTTAGACTTCGTGCCGTTTGCTTCTTCCTCGACAGGAATTAGTGCCGTTTCTCAACACCGGCTTTGCTGCCGCTGCTGTCGCATTCTTTGTTCGGAGCCGCCGACTTGGGTTTTCTCGGAATGCACTTCCCCCTCACTGTCTCTTCCCCATCCTTCTCGGCTGCGAGCCCCGACCTCGAACTCCTGATACAATAATATTCATCAAGAACCATTTTAGTACGAGTTGGCGTGTTGTTTTACACAAAGAGGTACGAATTGCGTGCCGGTTTCAAACAACGTTAAGAAAGGTTTTGACTTTTTTTACCCATCTGCGTTGTAAGAAGAAGACCTCGTCAAGGCAGGAGGAGGAACGAGTTCCTTCTTGGTCTCAATCAAGCTTCCACTAAAATACTCCTTATCTTCCAACTTTACCCCTCCAAAACTATTTAATTCCTTCTCTGCCACTGCCCTCATGAGGCTAGGGTTCGCTGCTCCCCGTGTTAGTGTAGGTTTGGTAAGGCCGTGCAACGACAGCCCTTGATCTCTCATCAAAGTGGGCCCGCACTCTTTAAACGACATCGTACCGCACGATATTAGCTGCATGAGCACAGTAGAAGCCCTCATTCTCCCGCTCGGGAAATTCTCGACCGTCCGATTAGAGGCCTGATCGTTAACATCGCCGGGACGCAATATCAGCCGTCCATCTGCCTTCATCAGCGTCTCTAGGGTTTCGGGGCTCGAATCCGACGGTGGAGGTGATATCTCGTCCCTGCTCAGCTCCGTACTTTGGTTTTCGTACGGCTCCTCCGGCTCCGGATCGGGGCTCTTCACCGACGGTTCATCGTCCTTTACCGGCTTCCTCCGCCGTCGCCGATCGTCGGTCTGAGTCGACGCGTCCGCCGCGAGTTTCTGGGTCGACTCGGCGCTGGACTCGGCCTTGTACACCTTGTACTCGCTGAGATCGATGGAACTCCACGACTGGTTCCTCCGGCGAGCCACGTCGGCCGGGAAGTCGGAGTCTTTTCCGGTGTTGACTGGGTCAAACGTTCTCGGAGCCCTGAACGACGACGTTTCGAGGAGGCTTCTGGGGTTTTGGACGAGACAAGGGTCGAGAATCTCAGAACCTTTAAGGACGTACTCTTGGCCATGAACGGGGAAGATGAAGTCGTTTTCCGACAAGTCGTGCCAAACGAAGCCGTTCTTGTAGCTCCTGAAGAAGAGAGATGTCAGAGGATCGGACGGTGGATTTTACTGAGAGTGGATTTGATCGGACGGTGGTAAAGAAGCGAAGTGCACGTACCGTTTGGAAGACCAAGAGTAGAGAGTAGCCATTCCTTTGCCCCGGAGATCATTCAAGCGGTTCATCACATCTGAGAAAAAGAGAACCCACAAAAGAAAATGTGAGAAAATCCGGGAAAGAGGGAGAAAATGCTCGACATTTTGAATGAAAGTGAGCAAAAACCCAAGAAAGTTTCCAACTTTGAAGCTAAAGTTACAACAAAGCTCACTAAGGCATTATAGTTGTAGCTGCTGTTCTGTTCCCTCATAAAATCCAAAAAGAAAAGGGAGTTTAAAAGCATCTTTTCTTGTTTGCTTGACCATAATGTCCTAAGGAAAAGCAGTGCTTTTTTTTCCCGGTGACGCACCAATGAAAAGCGAGATTCTTTTTCATTTTCTGGGTTTTGAATAATCTCCAGTTACAGGCCAAAGATTATGAGATTTTTAAAATTCCAGGCGGAGGTTTTTTAGCTCTTGAGAAGTGAAGAAATGGTGATTTTTGAAAAAGATTGCGGGTTTATGGGATTACTTCACCTCTGAGATAGAGACCCTCATGGGAAGAGAGAGTGACTTCCATGAAATGCGGATGGTCGAGCTGGCCGTTGCGGCAGAGGTAGTAAACGACGGGGACTTTCCGGTGGCCGGAGGGTTTGTGTCGGGGCTCCGACCAGATCCTGGTCCGCTCGGGGCTCGTCTCTTGCTCCTTCACTCTCCTCGGAACCAGGAAGCTCTCTGGATTGGCTCTGAACCCTCTTGAACTTAACGCCATTGCTCTGTCTCTTCTGGAGGAAGAAGAAGAAGAAGAAGAAGAAGACGAAGTGAACAAGGAGTGAGAGAGATTGGGTTTTGGAAAGTGATGTGAGCAGAGACAAATCTTTTTGGTTTAGGGTTTGGATTTATAGGAAGAAGAAGAAGGTGGGGAGAGAGAGAGAGAGAGAGAGAGAGAGAGAGAGATTTTGGAAAACGGGGATGCGAGAGACAAGGGCTACAAAACAAGTGAGACTTCTCTCTCTCTCTCTTCTGTGTCTTCTGATACCTGCGTTTACTTGCGACAGTAGAAAAACAATTATTCTAATATTTTACCAAAAAAAACAATTATTCTAATAAATAAATGCTATTATTTTTTGAAATTTTATAGGTTGAATATTTTATGTGTTAAAAATTAATAATATAAAGACTAAGAAAACGATCAAATGAAAAACATACTAACAGAATCAGAACCGGTCCTAATGAGATAATTCAAATTGAGATGAAAGAGTAATTTCAAAATTTTCAAGGGTTGACCAATGAGTCCACACCGAACTTTGACTATTTATATGAAGACCGATCATTTCACTTTGTTATGTCATGTCCGTTTCCTATACATTCTTACGTGGCAACGTGGAGCCCATCGACACGTGTCACACACCCTAGTTTTAGCAAGTTTACAACTTTGAACTCTCAATCATTTTTTAAAATCAAACTTTTTTATTATACATAAAAAAATATATTGAAAAAAATAAATAGTTTTAAAAAATGAATTCTAGGAAAAAAGAGTAATAAAAAATTGAAATGAATAAACAATTAACGAAGTATAAATTTAGAAGCAACCTAGTAAGAATGTAATTTGATATTTTCAGAGTATTCAAAAAATGCCTCGGTAAATTTGGTTTCATCTTTGTGAAAAAATATTTAAAGATGAATGAAGAGTATCCATCTACATGGCCCATCCGTGAGATTCGATGATGGACGGTCCAGATCGATAGCATCCTAACGACGACGTTTTGATCGTACGGTCTGCAACTAAAGATACGCAAAATCGGATCTTCAAATCACTGATCCAACGGCTGTCCGATTCTGACTCGGAGAGATCGTGTGGGACCGATCACCGTGGCTCCCAACCCTTTTTATCCCTTCAATTCTCCAACATACATGAACATAAAAAGTAGAAATATATGTATATATATGTATATGAATTGAATATAAGTAAATGATTATAAAAAAATTAAATGTATATTATCTATACATTAGAAATACTTGTATTTGAAGGGAAATGGCGAGAGGGAGAGAGAGGGTTTTTTTGACTGTTGTTTTGGAAATATACGAATATTTATTATAAATTAAATTGAAACTAAAAACCAAACTAGGCAAAAACATTCCTGTTTCATTTTTTAAATGAACTACGAGTCCGCGACAATAAAAAAAAATCACCAAAAATAAAAAGTGGATATAAATCCAAAATATCCATTATTATACATTTAAATTGCTCATTTCATTTTTGTAACGATTATTTAAACTCGTGGAATTCAGAGTCATATATATAGAAAATATTTTTGTAAACAGGGAATAAAGATACGTGTGGACAAAACATGCATTAGACAAAAGATCCATCACTTGCGCATGACGAATGTGTTGGGAGAGTTTTTACTTAGTTCAATGCATTTATAGCTCCTTTCCAAAACGAGATTGCACCGATTGTATTCATCTATATATATATATATATATATACATATACATATTCTATTATTGGAATTTGCATTGAATTCATTCCCTTCCCCATGAATTTCTATATAGCAAACATATTATTACATAATTGTCCATATCCTACCCCCCCCCCATGTGATAATTAACAATTTTAAAAGATGGTAAAAGGGTATTCAACATAATCCTCTCTTCGCCATTAAAAAATTACAGTGAGATTAGTTGGGGTGAAGTTACCGATATATCGGTTAAAAAAAATAGTATTAGACATATATATATTAGTAGACTAATATATTCATGTATATTACATCCTATTAGGACTATATATATGTGTCTAATATTTAGAGCTGGTACAATGTGGGTGATGTATGTAAAGTTTGCATTGATTCAAATGGTTAAAAAGGTTGCACATATTTAACTCTTTTTTTTTTTAATTTTAAAAAGTATATATATTTATATATTTATTTATTTTAGGGGCAACAATCCTATTCAAGGGTTTAGTAGTTATTGGGCCTAATAGACGAAACATTTTTGGTAGGCCTTAAAAATATATTGGGCCTACATTTATCCATGAGTATATATAAAAGAACTCAGGCCTAACGTATCGAAGAGCGTGTACAATTTAAACTATTCAAATAACATCTATACATATATATATATATATATATGTGTGTGTGTGTGTGTGTGTTCATATATATAATTAAATGATAAAAATCACCATGGAGAAAGATGATAATTTATATAATATTATAATAACGGTATCTATCGTACATTAGTCTATAAAATTATATACTCCAACTTGTAATTAATATTAGATATTTGGTTGGACCAGCTAAAGATAAAATTGGCCAATCATCATCAAACACTTGTACGTTAAATTAAATGCACTTGAAGCATGATTATTCAATGAGCAGATAACATCAAAATAATAAATATAATAGCAATAATCCACTAATGTATCGCAGGTAAAACAATGGTCTAGCAAAGTTAATATTGACAGGGACTATAATAATATTCTTTAAAACATTTGCGATTTCATATATAGGGAGGAAGTTTCGGTATTTGATCCGGATTCGGGTCGAAAATGGTTTGATTCGATTCTTTCGATTTTTAAAAAAATAAGTATCATTCGATTATTATATTATATTTGGTTTGGTTCTAGTTTTTATTAAAAAAAAAATTAGATCTTCTTTAAAAAATTTCGGTATTTCGAGTTTTTAAAAATTTCAGTTTCGGTTTCGATTCAGTTTCGAAAATTTCAATTTTTCTAAAATTAATACCATTCGCAAATTTTGAACAGTTCATATCGAAAAAAATATCATATTTTTTAGATCAGTATTGTTCGATTACGAGAAACCGAATCGAAACTCCCACTTATATATGTATATATATATATATACATATGTATATTAACCATTTAAAGGTATAAAATATGGATGATGAAAGCCTTATCTCCACAGTATCCATATACAATCTAGACTTTGGTTTAGTGGCTGCTTAATTGTACAACACTTTTATACATGGAATAAACTATACGATAACTTCCTTTTATTTAATTTAATTTTATTTTATCATAACCACTAAGAATTTTACCAATCAGGCAAGTGACGATTGCCCACTTTGTCTAAAATTCCAAACAGAGGAATAGTCCAACAAGAGCAAAGAAGTATATCATAAAATATACATTTGATCTAAAATTGTATTTAGTATTTTAATTTTTTTTTTCTCATTTGAAATGATAACACACGGTTAATTATTCGCGATTAAACGACAACTTTTTTTTTTTATAACTTTTTTATGTAATACCTTTAGTTATCTACTCGATGAATTAGATGTTCCATATGTCCATACCCCACACGTATTAAAGATAATAAAGTCACGTTTTTAGTTTATTTAAAATATTTATCAAGTTCTACTTACTTCATTATATATACAGATATTGTTGGTTGAATAAATAAAAATAATTAAAATATATACATTTAAGTTTTCGATGGGCATATTAATATTTACGTCAATCCCATCATATTGTTAGCCTAAGCCTGGAAAAAATAATTCGAATATTGTTAGCCTTAAATAACATTGAGCCCTTTAATTTTAATTTTAATAGAAAAAGCCAAGATGGATTGGTAAATGTGTAATTTTTTGTGTAGTGAATTAAAATGCTAAATTAAAGTCGATTTAATTAACATGTAACGATGTTAAAAAAAAATAACAAAAATAAATAAGTGGAAAGCTTTCGAAGGGACAATCTTCAGTGGCTGCAAGCTTTCAGGATGGCTTCCTAAAAGAATGCAAGAGTTTTTTTTTTATATAGAATTTTTTTAATTAAAAAAATAAAACAAAAGAAAAAAGTAGACAAAGGTCGCTATATGGGAATAATTAATCTTATCGCTTATCTAAGCACATCATATTTCATGCAAATCTTATTATATTATCCTGTTGGGCGATATCCATGATTCAGCACATACGTAAGGGTTATATATATATATATATATACATACACGCACATATATATATATACACACCGATACACGCACATATACACCTTAGGCGTGCGCATGATGATGGGAATATTCAGTCCGGATGCTTCATCAACGATATAGTATCCCATAAGATGCAGAAGCTAAACAGTTTCACATAATATTTTATTTTTTTGAGGTGATGTACTAAAATTAATATTTCCGACATATAAAAACATTAAAAAAAAGAAAATTTTTAAAAAAGGGAAAACAAATCTTTGAATGTAGTGGCAAACCCCATTACACTGACTAAGCATATATCTATATATGGTATATGTGTCTAATGTTTCTATTTTCTTTCTTTTATCTTTGGTCGTATTGATTTGGACACAAAGTATAGTGAATCGCAATTTATAAAGTTTATATTTGAAATATAAAATAACACTATACTTTGGATATGCGCTTACATCGTGACAACAACATCACACACAATACAAATCCATGGAACACCAGCCTTACAACATGGATATGTAAGCACGCATGCATGCCCGTGTAATGTTACATGCAATCATCTTTTTTTTGGGTCCATGCAGATTAATCCAGGCCCTTTTTACATGACTATGGATGGAAGCAAATAAAAATTAATAATCTAGAGAAAATAAAATAGTATATAAATACCTAATTTTTTATAAAATTTTCATATAAATACCTAAATTATAAAATTTTCATATAAATACCTGAATTTTTAAGAATTTTATATAAATACCTAGACTTTTGATTTTTTTTAAATAAATATAAATTTCAGATATTTTTCAAAGAAAATAGGTGATTTCATTGACGGATTTTAGATTTATTTGAGATTTTGTTTTAGAAATCTAGGTATTTAGATAGGATTTTAGAAAAGTTAGAGTTATTTATATGAAAATTTTATAATTTAGATATTTATTTATGTAGGATTTCTTGTATTTATATAAGATTTTTTTTCTAATAATAATAATAAAAAATTAGGATGATAAAATCTGAAAGTGGAATGAGTGACGATGGAGAAGAAGGTTGGTTGGTGGCGTCCACGTCACTTCCGCTAAATCTGTCTCCTTTCATCTCTCCGTTCCGTTGAATCCTTTTTCGACAATTTTACACAAATTAATAACCCCAAGTAAATGTAATGTTCTCGAAACCACACTAATAACATATTATTTTTTAAAAAATAAATCTCTTTTGATTTGTTAATAATCTCCTAATCATACTCTTCCGACTGTTGATCACTGTCAGTGTCTCCCTAATTAGTAATTACCACTGAATCAAGAGGTCAAAATCCAACCAACTAAGCTAATGATGGGTGGCTGAGATTGAAAATGCAGCAGCCATCAGATTGTGGGGTTGCAGATTTTTATTTATTTATTATAAACTATTGGAGTAAAATGGACGATTTGGCCTTCTGAAAGCAACACCCAAATACCCCGAACCCGAATCTTCCATTCCCCCATGACACGGAAAAGCATTACAAGCATACCCATATACATAGCCCATCACACACACACAAAAAAAGAAAAAAGAAATGGAGAATTTTGATGGAATTCGTAATTGTATAAAAAATATATTTTTAATAAAAAAATCAAATCAAATAAAAAAAACAATAGTATCAGTTTGTTTTTATAATCCGGAATTTCACTCAACTTTCGTCCCTGTTAGAAAATCGAAAAAACTCATATGAACTCCTCTTCTCAAATGGAAACTCGATCCAAGATCGGAAAGGAGTTTCGTCTCATCCTTACGAGTCATCCAAACTTGGGTAATAATACCAAATTATGATGCAAAAGACCTATTGGGGGCCATATTGATCAATCTCAATACTCGTTTCCATGTGGGGGTTCAGGTTGAACTTTTCATGAATCTATGGAGATTTCTCGTCTTAAGAAGGCTATGGGCATAAACCCTGAACTCACAAACACACTACATGCGGGTTTTTTTTATTTCTGAGAAACGTCTCTCAGCCCAAGGGATTCCTATCAATCTTTTCATAGATTCCCACGACAAAAACATTGGAAGGATTCTTGAAATTTTTCTTCAATTATAAGATACGCAGAAGAAAAGAATAAATACTCCGATTTTTTTTTTCTGCTTCTACGAACCGTAAAACCAGGTACTACCAGAGTCAAAACCCTCTTCGGTTCATTGCATGCATCCAGAAGACGACAAGATTTTCACACAAACAGGGGGTTAAAATGAAAAAATCAACCACAGTATGTGATCAAATACTAAAACCATAATGGACTCTCGACTAAAATTAAATAATTTATTATTATTATTATTTTTTTTTTGATATATTGGGGAACCCCGTGACTACTTACCCTTACAAACGGAGATGAACTGGCCACCACCCGCGCCTAACAGTCCCCATGGACCTCAGTCCGCCGGACCTGGCCACCAGGCGCGCCTAACGCTCGGGCCGTAGTTGGGCTTAGACGCCTGCAGGTCAAACCCCAAGCCCACGCGCACAAGCCTGCAACATAAATCAGTCCATTATGATAGGCTGACAGGCGAGCATGTCAGAGGAAGGGAGACGGCAGGATTCGAACCCCCACCTCAAGGAGTTGCTCCCCTGCTCCCAACCAACTGACCTGGCCCCGAAGGGCAATAATTTATTATTTTTGTTAAAAGTAATTTATTATAAGCTGCTGTTTAACGATTTCCTAACGTTAATATCTAATCCCATCCTCTGTAGCTACTGCTAGATACAAAAGGTCACTTATCAGACGCCCCAAACATTTCGTCCCCTCCTTCCTTTCTACTGTGCTTTTCAAAAATTTCCTTTTATAATATATGCAGCCTTTAATGAAATCAAGGGACATCACCACCTATTACAGTTTAATCCGGTTTGGTTCGGTTTGATTACAATTATTTTGGTGTGAGTTGTATAAATACATATGTTCTTGATGAATCTATCTTTCTGTTGTTGTGTATTGATTCACCAAGGACGTTGATATTTATACAATTCACACCAAACCAAACCAAACCAAACCGGTATAAACGAGTCTTACACTCTATTCCTACAGTATCATCACGAGGGAAAAACAATAGGGAAGAAGGGTTTAGGGCCTTGGCTATATTGATTCCTTCCACACTGCTAGAACCCTTAAAAGATCAGAAACATCAAAGTCGTATGGTGGCGAGATAGATACCTTCTTTCGTATTCGGTTTAGGGCTTTCGTGTCCACGCGTGAGAAAGTGCACTTGTGTAAATGGCCAAAGAAGCATTGACGCCCCTCTGATAGGAATCTATATCCTGCAAAGGCGTATAAGCTCGAGTTCTTATTATTACCACAAGAGCAAAATTAATGGGAAGTTACATCAATCGCCTATTTCTTTTCTTTCTTTTTTTTTTTTGGCTATAATGGCTGACGACGTCATAAGCATGGAGACCCCACATTATCAACAGCATAATCGTGCAACATATGGACGGTAAAGATTGCAAATCATTAGATTATAATAATGCGAGTGTGATATCGCATAGACACACCGCAGTGTAAAGAGGCTCGTATATAAATATTTGGGAGGGGTGGCCATAGGTCCCCATAAGCAAAGCAGGAATTAAAGGGATTTCTATTGGCATAAGAAGAAGAAGAAGAGGGAGAGAGAGGAAATGAAGATGGTGCAGGAGGAAATCCGGAAAGGGCCGTGGACAGAACAGGAGGACATCCTTCTGGTGAACTTTGTCCACCTATTCGGAGATCGGAGATGGGATTTTATTGCCAAAGTTTCAGGTTTGAAGGTGGCGGGAGAAGCATAATAGGTAGGCTTGTTTTGGACATGGGCGGTCTTTGGAAGGGACCATCCATTAATGACCCTAGTTTTGTTGTAGGTTTGAACAGAACAGGAAAGAGTTGCAGGTTAAGGTGGGGTAATTACCTCCACCCTGGCCTCAAACGTGGGAAGATGACTCCTCAGGAAGAGCG